TCCTTATTTACGTAAGAAAGTTGCTCAAGCAGAGTAGACGCTCTTCCTCTTAGAATCACTTCCCAAAATTTCAGCTTCCCCTGCAATTTTTTATGGAGGCAGCAGCTCAGTTTCTACACAGCATGACAGACCAGCCGAGGGTCTCTGTGTGCTCATATTGGGTGGGACAGGACCTTCGGCTCTTGTGAAGCTGTTCACCCACACGCCCATTCGTTAAATAACAGCGGGCTGTGGAGAAGGAAGGTGGCAAAGCTGTGAGAAGCAAGGAAGACAACTTCATTGCCAGTCTCGCGCAACAAAGAAGAACCCAGACCTTCCACCCATTGAAGGTGCGCGCGAGACCCAAGCCTTCCCAAAGGCACGGCGTCACCGGTTCCTGATGAGGAAAGACTCTCGCTTTCGGTCCCATTGCATTCCCTTCCGCGACTGCACGCTAAGCTAGGTGAATCAGGAGTACAGTGCAGGAGAACACCTCCAACAGTCTTCTGCCACCTCCCTTGCCTCTTAGCGCCCCCTTGCCACCCCCCCGCCCCCTTGCCACCCCCCCTTGCCTCTTAGCGCACCCTGCCACCCCCCTTGCCTCTTAGCATCCCCCTGCTGCCCCCCCATGCCTCTTAGCACCCCCATAAATCATCCCACCTCTCCCTGGGAGGTACCGCCCACTTTGGGAACCACTGGTCTAGATGATGCCAGATTGAGTAACACTGTCTTACAATAGTTTTTTTCTTTTCTTTGTTCTTCTTTCACCTAGTCTGGAAAGCTTAATTCAAAAGTAGACCATTTAATTAGCAAAATTGTTTTATCTTCAGGGCCTACTTCTGAGGATTACTATTCTGAGATTTCTTTTTCTGTTTTTTTCACTCTTTAAACTTAAAATCTATATTCTTTGCATGGAAGGTAAAAATGTGGCAAATGTGTAGGTTATATTTTTATATTATGATTTTTTAACAAATTAAGAAGGTCCCTTAAACTACATTATTTTCCAGAGAAAGGTATGCTACTGTTACCATGTTGTTCCTGAAGGTTACCTGTGAGCGCCAAGGAAATTGTTCAGATATATGCATTATCGTTTTTTTAGTTCTTACCTGAGAACTAAAGAATCCAATTTGTTTCTCTATTAAACATATATTTACAACTGTCAACTGTCAGTAATATTCCTGTCAGTGCCAGCGACAGACATGATCCAAATCTTCTTTGGCCATGTCAAAAAGTCAGATTTAATTTTCTCACATTATTCCTGATTGCCCTCACAAGGAATTTCATGGAATCCAAGAAAATGGATTAACCTCTGTGGACTTTTCCACAAACATCGCAACCTCTCGTATACATTTGAAGTCTTCAGGCATTAATATGTGGTAGAAATATATGGTTTCTTGGGTGTAACTTAGAGACCTTTGGATGTCAAAAACAAGAAATACACTTCCTATTTTCTTTTCTCCTTTGCAAAGCCATTAGAAGAATTTACACATTTCCCCATAGAGGCCTCACCTCACACTAATTTAACTTCTGAGGTTATGAAAGCACAGAACGGTTATGTTCTCTCTGCAAATTGTAAGGTCCAGAGCTATCATTCCAATTTGCCCTTAAAGGCCTATAAAGTGACCATTGGTGGTACCCCCAAATCTTAACGGGCCCATTGGCATCTATCTGTAGTTGGATGCTAATTATATACTTTGCGCATTCTGCTGAGCCAAAGTGGTTTCAGAAAAAAAAGTTCATTGGTTTGAGGGGATTTCTGGGTGAGCACAGGATCAAGTCCTTATTTTTTTAAAATAAAAAAAGATAATTTGGGGTTTTCTTAAGCACTTGAAATTTATTTTGTATTGTTTTTATTTAACCACAAACCACACTATGGCATCAGAATAAAGAAGTTGTGTTCAGTAACAGCCTATGTATTAGTACTTTTTTAAATTTTGCTTTTAAAGAAACAGCTGTTTCAACTATTACCTATCATCTCTCCCTCTCTCCCTCACCCTCTCTCTTCCTCTCTCTCTCTCTCTCTGTGTCTGTCTGTCTATCTATCTATCTATCTATCTATCTATCTATCTATCTATCTATCTATCTATCTATCTATCTATCTATCTATNAAAATGAGGACCCGGATTGTTGTTGGGGGCAATATGCTGACTCTGTAAACCGCTTAGAGAGGCCTGAAAGGCCTATGAAGCGGTATATAAGTCTACTGTTATTGCTATAAAAAAAAAGGGAACAAAGTATGCTTAGCCTAACGAAAAGGAGTTTTAGGAATGACATGATAGCAGTCTTCCAGTACTTGAGGGACAATCACAGACAAAAGGAGGTTGACTTATTCACCAAAGAATGAGGGCAGGACAAGACGTAACAGTGGAAATGCCTCAGAGGGAGATCTGATTGGCAATGAGAACAATTAATCAATGGAACAGCTTGCTCTCAGGAATTGTGGGTGCTCCATTGCTAGAGGTTTCCAAGAAAAGATTGAATAATCATTTGTCAGTGATGCTGTAAGGGATCCTGCCTAGAAGACTTCCAAGGTTTCTTCCACCCTATGATTGCATGTTCTAACATCAAAGCACCTGCCAAGTTAACTTGTTGTCTCTTATAAACTAATGATTCTCATATATTTCCCTTCTTAGGTTATCTCCTGGTTTAAAAACATCACAGAATGCTTCAATAAATATGCAACTGCCTTCAAGAGAAACAAGCTCTTATTTCAATAGCACGGCTTCAAGAAACATGGTGGGCTACTCATCGCCAAGAGCCAATTCTGTTCCCATCATCCCTTCAGTGGGCTTAGATGAAGCCTACATGCAGACTCAAAACATTTCAGATATCACAGGCATCAAATGGTGCAAAAACTCCTATTCCACTGAAATGGTCAATATGAGTGCCCCAACCAGCAGCTGTCTTATTGCAGAACAACAAGAAGTCAAACTATTATTAGAAACTGTCCAGGAACAGATCCGAATTCTGACTGATGCAAGGAGGTCAGACAATTTTGACCTTTCCAAGGTCAAGGCAGAAAACAGTAGGAGTGGAAACACAGCTTTTCTGCCCATGAGCCCAGTGGCAAAATCAGAGCGAGAGGAGGCACAGTTTGTCTTAAAAAGTGAATCAAAAAGAGACTTGGCATTGATCAAGTGACTTTGATCTGGGGGGGAAGGGTGGGAGGGTAAGATGGGGGAGGGGGCTGTATGGTTCTGTGCATTTGAAGCTTTGCTAAACAGGAAAGAGAGGAAATTACAAATTATTTATATGCATTAATTTAAGAACATCTACTTAGAAGAAACCAAATAGTCTATCGCCCTCATCTCAGTGTTTTTTAACAAAATATTTTTTTAACGGAAAGAGTTACCAGGTGGTATGACCCTTAACTAGAAGTTCTGTTTATTTATTATTATTCTTTCTGGTTGGTTTTCTTTCTTTCCTCTGTCCCTTTCTTTCACTTCAGCCCATCTCTCTTCTTCGTCTGTTCCTTCCAAGCCTCCATATTCTCCCGACTTTGTTTTCTGAACTGAAATGAAACGGCACTACAGTAGAGCTCTTAGTCTCACTAAATTCCCACTGATTTTGGAGCATTTCATCTGAAAGGTTTTCCACCGCTTATACGGAATTCATGACTTGTAATCCAAATCGTCAAAGTTCCTCAGTAATAATTTGACTCCTTTGTTCTCCAGATCTACAATGAACACAGTTGCTAAACCCTAAGCCTTTGGCCACAAATTTGTAACATTAAAACAAATACAAATGACAAAATCAATGAAATACAACTTGAGTTGTTTTGTCCAAACCTCTCCACATTCTATGACAGATACCCCAGCTAGCCATGTTATGTTGGAGATGATGACCAACCCAACCATTAGATCTGAAGGAGAAGATCAGAACATTGGCTAAAGCGGAAAACTAAACATCATAAAAGGAACATTTTTGCAAGTAATAAACTATTTGTCTGGGTTAATTAAATTTATTATGAGGGTGAGGGTTGAAGGGAATTTGGAAAGGATTTTTGTTAAGCCTTTCTCTCAAAAAATTTAAGAAAATCCCAAAGTGTTTTTAGGTAAGGCTAGCAATATTTCTCAGAATGTTCTTTCCCCTTCATTAAAGCAAATAGGCTTTTCTCCTGTATGACTTTCACTGTTTATTGCCACGTCAAGATTCATGTTCTAATACTCTAGCAAATATAAATATTTTACAACTCCCTTTTCTAACCATATCACTAGCGTTTGCAATTCCCCAAACTCAACCAGTCCAATGAAAGATGGGGTTTTTTTTTTAAAAAAATGTGAGTTATAATTTAACACCGTCTAGACCAGTGGTTCCCAAACTTTTTCAGTCCACTGCCCCCTTGGTGCTACAAACTGATCCTCAGGGTCCCCCACCCAGTGGTGGAATTCAATTTTTTTTACTACCAGTTCTGTGGGTGTGGCTTGGTGAGCGTGGCTGGAGGGGGGGTCATGTGACTGAGTGTTTTGCACGATGGAAGTAAAATGCAAAACTGTAACAATTAATTGCACATTTATTCAAAATCCAATTTAAAAACCTCTTTAGTTAATGTTAATTCAACAAAATTGTTGATCATGATCCAGTGATACCAGGTTTTCAAAGTCTGATAGTTATTTATCAAGAAACTTAGCAACTAGTAACTTAGTAAACTCAGAAAAATTTAGTAACTACTTCACTGTTCAGTAAATTCTTAATATGATGGATGGG